GCGCGATCGCCACTCCTACTGCACTGGCATTACCTCCTACTCCTTGAGCTCAGTAAGGCTGGCTTGTTTACCCACTTGAATTTTGCGCCGGCGAATGGCTGAAGAGCTTCCGCCTCAAACAAGCCGGATTGGGCCGCAGTGTCCACCGAGGCCTCTGCATCCCACAGAGATAGCCCACACCTCGACTCGGATTCCCCATCTTCAGCTTCGCACTTCCCTGTAGAATTGACATCTCATTGAAGACCTCACTGCAGCTTCTCCTGGGCCCTTGACTGCCACCCAAAAAGACATTTCTCCCCGCTCGTCACTCCCAGGAACTCCCAGCGCATAAACCAGAGCTGGCCGGTCTCCAAGACGCCCAATGCGACGGTTCCGACAAGGCTCCCTTGAGGCTCCAGGGTCTCGGTAAATGTCGATGTGATACATATACTTCGGCTCGCACTCGAGGAACTCTCCCCCGCTGACCGGGCTGATCATCTCTCTGCGTGCCGTTGCACCTGCGAAGAAGCCGACCTTGTTCTTGGCAGCGGCGGCAACACCACGAGCGTCTGGCGGGTCGGAGCATTTCTTCGCCCAGCGACCCACCAGCGCGCACACAAGGTACGGAGTTTCATCACATCGATGTGCAGCCTGACCTTCCTGCCGTGTCCGTCCTTGTACTTAGCACTGCTGCCAAAGCGGGCCACTGGCACAGGGCGAGGAGACTGGTTGCCACCGCCCTTGTCTTCCCCGCCGCCCTTGCCGCCCTTGTGGAACCCGCGGCGGCTCTTCTCTTGGCGAGGCGACTCAAGCACCGCTTGGTAGGAGGCCAGTGCCGTAGTGATGTCGGCCTCCTCATGCACCTCTTACAAGTCGGCCTCAAAGACGTAAATGTGCCCCTCATCGTCCTGTTCGTCGCCGTCCTCTGTTGTTGGGAAGGTGCTCAGCCGCAGTCCGATGTTGCCGTCGTCACCGGAGAACTGGCGATATCCCTTATCCATGGTCACTTTATCCAGTCGTCGAAGTGCTTTGATCACCTCTTCTTCTCTGAAGCTACCAGCGGTGCAGGTATTCATCATGTCTTCGCCTTTGTCTCCGAGCTTCGCGTGCCGCATCATGATATACCCGCGCGCCTCTGCCGGCAGCACCACGCCCCCACGCTTCAGCTCAATACTCTGGCATCCACTGGCCTGTCTCGCGGTGGGACGTATACACAGCCTTCTCAAGCGCCCGCGGCATGGTCTGCTCCAGGTACGGCGCGAACGCCTCATCCAGAATCGGAATGATATTATCCAGCCCATCCTCGGACGTAATCTCCTCAACCTCCAGGTCCGCGAAGGCCTCCTTCGCGCTTCTGGTCAGCCTGCGCGTCAGCTTTGACCCCCACCTCACCTTTGGAATGTCGGTCGTCGTGGCCCACAGATTGAGCCCTTTCTTCCATAGTTTGTACGTACTCTTTGGCTTGACACCAGCGTACCTGGGCGGTGGGTCCTTGTCCTTGCCGAACGTGTGCGCACTCTCTTCAACATCAGCGCCGTCCTCGCCCGACATAGCGTTCCTGGGAGCCGGTGGATCTCGCCGGCTCCGCGACCACTGTGAATGCCACTGATCGCGAAGATCGGATACCACGTGCTCCTTACACCAGGCCCAACTCCCAGTTGTCAAGCACGCAACAGAATAGGGCGGTCGCAGTGAAAGTGGAAGAAAGGGAAGGATAAGGGATGTTACTGGTAGGTTCTGGGTTCGGAGTCTGGAGAAACGGGGTGTAAGCCAGCCCGAGCAGGATATGGCTACAGCGGGCGTTGGGCAGCGAGCAGAGGGGGGGCTGAAGGGAAGAGCGAAGGCATATGTAGCACTATGCAACCACTCTCAGCATCAGCATCATCAGCAGCATTAGCATCATCATCAGCATCAGCATCATCCGCATCATCAGCATCAGCATCATCAGCAGCATCAGCATCATCATCGTCGGCATAACCCTCAGCATCACCATCAGCATCATCAGCATCGTCATCATCATCAGCATCATCAGTATCGTCAACATCAGCATCATCATCATCATCATCATCAGCATCATCATCATCATCATCATCATCATCATCATCATCAGCATCATCAGCATCATCAGTATCGTCAACATCAGCAGCAGCAGCAGCAGCAGCAGCAGCACCAGCGTCAGCAGCAGCAACATCGTCATCACGATCATCGTCATCATCACTGTCACTACTCTCATCGGCATACGCTGGGTAGCAATGCCACCGCCCTCGGCAGCAGCCGGCCCCCTCTGGGGCCCACCTCCCCGCGCGCTCCCGGCGGCGCGCCCCGCCCGCGCACCTCCGAGTGTCGCCCCTCCTCACGAGGGGGGAGTCCTCGGTGCCCGCGCGCCGAGAGGCAAGAGCGGCTCTGGGCTGGACGGAGGGGGGAGTCGGGGGGTGCTGACAGTGCCCCCGGCCCAAGGTGTCCCCCCAGCTTTGGGGCCCTTTGGGCCTCGTGAGGAGTTCTCTGGAGGCCGTGGGGGCCGCCTTTTGGACGCCAGGCGAAGGCTGGCAATCCCGTGGCGGCCAAAACGGAGCTCCGGGAAATTATTTCTTCCGGGAAGCAACCCGTGAACTATTTCGCGCGCAGAGCTTTATTCCGGGACTTCGTTATTTTCTTCCGGGAAGGCCGTTTTAGCAGCCACGGATTTGCCAGCCCTCGCCCAGCGTCCGATCCTTGGAGATCCTGGAGGCACCCTGGGCCAGGGGCACCTCTGGCAACACCCGGGGGGGGGGGGGGGGAGGGGCGGCGAAGGCGTGGTGCTCGCGAGTGCGCCCACAGGGCCTCGAGGCGCCAGCGGCCAGCGCGTCGAGGAAGGGCGCCCGGCGGCGGGGCCGACGCCCGCTGCATGCAGCCGACTTCGCCCCTCCCCCCCGCCGCCTCCCCTGGAGGAGGAGGAAGCAGGAGGAGGAGAAGGAAGCAGGAGGAGGAGGGGGAGGAGGAGGAGGGAGGCGGAAGGGGACGGGCAGCAGCACCGGGAAGTGGAGTGGAGGGAGCGAGGCGAGCAGGACGAGGCAAAGAGGCAAAGAGGTGGCGACCACGACGAGGAAGGACTCGGATCCACAAAAATGGCCCGCGCTGGGGCAGGAGCGCCCTTCTGAACGACGGGAGCACAGGAGGGGTCCGACCACCAGAAACCTTCCACCAGAAACCCAACCCTGAGACCCCAGGACGTCAGCTGATTCTCCGGTGTGGGAACGTCACGCTTTCCATCGAGAAGCCATCGAAATCCAAAAAGCCCAAGGCACCCTGGAGGCAAGCGGGGTGTTTCTTGGCATGGGCCTCCACTGTATTCTCCCCTTTCGTCCGACCCGAGCCGAGGGGCAGGAGTGGTCAGCACCTTACCAGGAAAGCGGATCCGATCGTAACGCGCATCGGCTCGGGCGACATCGGCACGGAGTCGGAATCGGATTGGATCGGCCGCGGCAGGATGAGCAACAGCGCCATGCAAGCCTCGGGACGCATCGGACCGTCAAGCTATCGGAATCGAGTCGTGTCGGGCCAGCCGGAAGGGATACCACATGGATCGAAACTAACCCTGAGAAGGCCGTCGCCGCCGCCGCCGCCGCCGCCGCCGTCGTCGTCGTCGTCGTCGTCGCCGTCGTCGCCGTAGGGGGAGGGGATGCGGAGAGAGACCCTCTTCCAACTCCTCCTCTTCATCCTCCTCCTAAGCCACTGAAACACTGATGGTCTGAGACTCCGCCGGACGCGACCATCCCTCCTTTTCCTCCTCCTCCTCCTCCTCCTCCTCCTCCTCCTCCTCCTCCTCCTCCTCATCCTGACGTTTCTGACGTTTCCCGCTAAGCACAGCGTCTCCCCGCCTCCACGCGCGCCAGGCGGGCGCGCCCCGCTTCCCTGGCTTCGACGGCGGCGGCGGCGAAAGCGAACCTCGGCCCCCAGGAGGAGAGGAAAGCGGAGGAAACCATAACCAACTAAACAAAAGGACCGGGAAAGACGGGGCCGAGGGAAACACGCGGCGCCCCAGGGCCCAGGCGGGTCTACTGACCCCAGCAGTCGAGGCCCTGGGGACGCCCTCATCGTGTGATGGAGCGGTTCCCCGCGCTGGGTGCGGCGGGGAGCCTGGTCGTTTTCGGGCCGCCACCTTCCACCTCGGTGGCGGCCCGTCCGCACGATCTACTCCTCCGCCACCAGGAGCATGAGATATGTGATCTCCTGGCTGCACCAGCTGGTTGCTGCTGATGCCCTTGAGGGAGGTGCTCGAGAGGCAGTCGTGATCGTCTTCTCCGCCCTCTCGGTGGCATGAGAGGTCGTCGTGCCGTCATGTAGCAGCGGGTCCCTTCTGCACGCTGCTCATTGGTCCTCTACGCTTGGCGGTGTTGCATCCTGTCCGCCCTGTAGCAGTCGTGGCCCACTTCTGCGGGCTGGTAGGGGTCGGGTCGAGGGGGGCGTAGAAGTGCAGGTACTGATCTTCGCCTGCGTTGGGTCATGCCGCCTCCCCTGCTGCGATTGCCCTCCACCTGGAGTACGGAGCCGCCGCCATAGCGCGGCACATCTGCGGCGGATACTCCTTGAGCGGTGCCGTCCGCCATCCCCCGCGACCGTCCCTGCCAAAGACGCCACGATGGGATGCGCGCCTGCACCTGGGCCCCCCTGGATATGGTGAAACCTGAGTGGTGTTTGCGTTTGTGGCTCTCTGGGGTCATTTGGGAGGGCCTTTGGGAGTTCCACTGGGGCATCTTGTGGCCCCAGGGGGCCGCCTTGAAACATCTTGGAGCGTCTTGGATCACTAAGGGACCATCTTGGCGGCCAGCGGGCGTCCTCCTGAACCAGCTCGGAACCATCTTCAGGCCGAAAGAACCACCCAAAGACCCCAAAGCGGATCCCGGAGCCAAGGGGGGGCAAATTGGGTTGCGAAGGGGGGGGGGGGGGGGGAAAAGTGGGCCACCCCAGGGCCACCCCAAGTCCCCTCCCCCAGGGGCGGTCCCGTCGTCTTCTTCCGTCGTCCGACGTCCATCGTCCGTCCGCCCGCCATGTTGTTTCTCTATGACAGCTCTGCCGCGGGCATCTTCTCTCGCTTGCTCTGAGTATATAGTGCCTGGGATGCAGCGACCAGCGCTGTAAATGAGCTGCTACCTTGGGCTGCAGCTCGCTGGACACTGCTGCGTGAAGGCGCTGCTACCTTGGGCTGCAGTGCCATGCAATTAAATACTCCAGCATTGCTTATCCCACACGGCACTTGAACGAGAGATGGACATGCTTGGTTCGCGCATGAATTTCTGTCCTGAGTCCTGAATGGATGAGCATCTAACCCAAATCCAAAATTCCCAAATTCCTTGGGGCCTTCGGAGACTCCGCGAAACCGTTAAGAAGCCGGGAGGCGCGGTACAGTCCAGATGTCAGGGGATGTGTAGGACCCCCCAGTAGGAGTTCCACTTTGATGAAAAAAGTGAATTCGTGGAATTCCTTTTTTTGTCCAAAATCCTCGATCTTTGAGGGTTGGAAATGATAAGGCTACGGCGTGCGACCGTTTCGACTTCAAGAGGCGTTTCAAGCTGCGTTTGAATTTCCTGTGGTTCCGTTGTGGTTTTCTCGTGGTTCCTTGCTTGCGCGTTCGGGCGTTTCGATCATCGTTTAACCGCGCCTCACATAGAGTGCGAGCACGCATTGTTCGGGCACGCACGGCAAAGTGCAACGCACGACCGACGCCACGCCGCCGTCGCACGAGGTCGGGGCAGACACGCAATGAACACGAGCGCTGACATGCGGTCCTCAGTGCACGTTCCCATCAGTACTAACTTGGGCGCACATGAGAGTAGTGAAGGTGATCAGCGAAGAGTGCAGAAACAAAGCTTTACCCTCCTCAACCTCTTCCTCCTCCTCCCCCTCCGCCTTGTTCCCGTGGTCCTTACCCGCCCGCCCGCCACCTCCTCCATCGCGCCTCTGTATCGTCATTGTCCTCTTCATCCTCTGAATCGCCCTTCTCGTGCTCCATCCTTCCGTCGCCGTCGCATTTTCCCTCCTCCATCCCTCGCCCCCCAGACACTCCACCGCCCCCTCCCCGCAGCAAGGGCGCGGGCAGTCCTCGCATGAAGGCGTCGAGGTTGAACGTCGGGCGGGGGGGGGGGACGCGTCTCTCACCCGCGTTCTCATCTGCCCCCTTGCCCCAAGACCACAAGAATGACGACGACGATGGCAGGCAGTAGCATGCACCGTCGTGGAGGAGGCGGCTTTTTCGACATCTGATCCGACTCTGATCGCAGCGAAGCCCCATCTGCGCCGCGCCACCAGGATGCTGACGACCCAGAGGGAGAAGAGAAAGAGAACGAGGATGAAGAGAAGCCCCTCTCCCCAAGGCCCCCCCTTCTTGCCAGGGACGATCTCAAAAGCCTTAGCCTGGAGCGTTTGAAGATCGGCCCCTGGACCACTCCAAAAAAAAGGTTGTCATTTATGATGCGCGTCGCCTCCGCCGCCCCCAAACCATCACCACCGCAACTGGCATTGCGCGTGCAGGAATTGACCCCATTTCCTAAGTGGCTACCCCCCCCTGGCAAAGAAGGGTTCCAGTGGCTATCCCTGGGAGGCGCACGAGGATACCATGGGCTGGAGAATCGCCACGACGCAAGGCTGACCGCGTACTGGGGAGGGGGCGTTTCGGAATCATCCAACACCGCATGTGCGTTCGCAGTCAGTTTCCTAATGTACCCTGAGTTTTTTCGAGGCCGTCCCCCCCCCCTCTCAACCCCCTGAGGCATCACCTCTCAGCGGCTTCCTTCTCCCCATCCCTCCACCACCTCCAACTCACATCAACGATCCCTCCTCCCCCTCCTCCTCCTCGCCACCGCATCCAGCCGATCAAGTGCCATTAGGTTTACTTCCACGCGTGCACGGACCCACGCAATGCAGTGCTCGTGCGCGCAGTGCTCCAGAGGGGTGGGTAGAGGAAGGCGACCCTGGCCCTGGTCGGGCATAGAGCCGACGACTGGTCCACCTGCTCAGCTGAGTGGCATGAAAACTTGAACAAGGCCACGCCGAATTTCAAATGTTTCGATGGCGGATGCACGTCGCACCCCCGAGTCCCATGGAAACGTGACTATCATAACCGAGAACCCACTCAGCTGAGACCGCGGCTAAGCTAGCTGGACCTCAAGCGACGCTCACGCTCTGGATCCACTGTTTAACGGGGTCCTTGATCGCCGACCACGTCTTGACATCCGAGTGCGTCTCGAAGGTCTGGTCGATGTACTGTCTGACGACCTGCCAGTCCTTCTCCCCCTCGGAGCGGTCAATGGCTCTCGGGAACAGAGGGAACACGAGCATCGCCGTCGCAACCTCCTCGCTCTTGTCGTCCTTGGGAACCCCTGTCACGAACGGGACGTGACCGAACGGCGCAAATACGGCAGACCCCACTGGCACGACTGCAGTCACCGCGTCCTTCATGCACTCCGCGCTCTCGCCCTTGTTGTTCGCTTTGGCCCACTGCTGCAACGCGCTGAGGGCCGTGAGCCCCGAGCCTAAGAGGTCGTTGACAGGCGCCGTCTTGATGAGCGCCGCCGATTGCACGGCCACGACGATGCTCGGCAAACCAGCGAAAGGCCAAGTGTTCATGTCCCAACCCCAACCGAAGTGCTTCGCCAAAACCAGAAACGGCTTCTGCGAGATCTCGTTCATGCAAGGGGGCGCCCTCGAAAGTCGGCTTGTCGGCGTCGACAATGAGCTCGCCAGCTCCGCTCAGGCCGCCCAGGGCAATCATGGCAGCATCGTTCTTCATCAGCGCATGGACCTTCTTGGCCTTTGCGGCGATCTTGTCTGCGTTGGACCCCACGACTTTCCCAATCGGCCCTGCGAGCGGACAATCGCCTGCCAAGTCGAAGAGGAAGGGAACTCGCTCCTTGGGGATCGCCTCCTTCTGCCAGCTGACCATGGCACACTCCTCTGCAGAGTGCGGCGATGGGAGGGGGGCGGCGTGGGGGGGAAAAGCGCGAGAGAGTCACTGGAGTGAGGAGAGGACTGGAGTTGGGGAGAACTGAGACACGAGTGCCTCGGAAGGGCTGAGCGGCTGGAGAATGCCAGGGAACAACAACTGGATGTGAGAAGAGCGGCAGTCCGAGTCGATCGAGCGCGCGGACTTGGCGAACTCTGCGGCCAGCACCTCGCACACCCCCTCGTGCAGGAAGGACGCCTTGTGCTTGTTGATGGCGGACGTCTCCTTACGCTTGACCTTGGATTCATCTCCCTGCTGCTGCTTCCTCACCTCCGTCATGCCTGCGATGAGCTCCTCCATGTTCTTGGAAAGCTTGATCACGTCGTTGAGCTTGTCCACGAGCTTGCCCTTCGCCGCGTTACTGTCTGGCGATTGCCTCCACGATTTGACAGTCTCGACCTGCTGCGAGAGAGCATCAACATCGTCGATCAGCGCCTTCCGCTTGGCCTCGTACTCGTAGGTGGACACGTCACCATCGTCCTTCACCAAGGCGAATATCTTATCAGGCTTCACATAGTGCGAGGCCTTGCTGTACCTGATGTGCTTGATCTCGTCCTTCAGCCGTGCCTGCAGGTCCCTCTTCGTGGAATTAAACTCCGCGGGGCGCATCCGCTTGTCGAACGTGGGCCAGGTCGGGGCTTGGCGAGTGCGTTTGCCATCGGCCTTGGCGTCCTTCTTCCCGCCCCCCTGGGGCTCATCCTCGTCGCCCTCATCGTCGCTGCGCCTGGAGGAAGCCTCCCCAGGCAGCGTGCAGGCCTTCGGCGTGGAGCCGCCCCTGCTGCGACAAGAAGACCTCCCCCCTGCGCTCGGCGCAGGCGACCGCTGGCGGCTCCTCGAGCGGCCACGGCTGCCGCGGCCCTTCAGCGCCAGGGTCGCACCGACCAACGAACCCGCAGCGGACGATGAACGCCGCGACCTCCTTGGCGCCGGTGCAAAGTTCTCCCCGTCGGAGCTGCCCAAACCGTTCGTGACGGTGTCAGCAGGGTCGGCGACCTCGCCATCGGTGTCATCCGACGCTGGATCCTGGACTTGAAGGGGGGGAAATCAAATTCAGGATCCCCTCTTGCACCCGAACGGCACGCACAACCTAAGTGTCAAAAAAATCTGTCCCCCCTCCATCTCGGACCACCACTTGTTTTGTAACGCCCAATGGGCTAAACCCCCTGAAAAAGAAGATCGCGGTAACAATCGCAGGACCCTCGGAGTCCCTCGTCAAGCTTCAGAGACGCCCGTGAGAAGGTCGCTAGTCCTGCGCCCTCGAGCTCCCGCGAGCTCGCAACGCCTTGACGCCCCTGATGCCCTTGAAGATGGCATCGCCCTTGTCAACGAACTTGCGCTTCATCTGGTCCGCGGCGTCCTCGGGCGTCAGCGTCCGCTGCGACGTGATGCCCTCGCTGTGGATGATTTCCTGTTCTGGAGTTCGCCCCCCTACTTGATGCCCCCACTTGCCACCCCCCGCGCCCTCTCCCCCGCCACCTCGCCACAAAGACCACGCGGGCCACCGCCAAAAACCTCGTCCCGCGGCCGAACAGGGGAGATGATTGGGGGCGGGGCAGGCAAGGAGGGATGGGAAAGCGAACTCCTCCCCTCGAGATTCTCAATTGCGCCGCCCGTCTCATCGCCGCACGGCCCCTAAGTTGACCCTCCCCATCGGTCCGTAGGCATGCGCACGGCGATGACTGTCTTGCCGTTCTCCACCTCCTTGTGCACATTCCTGTCATTTTTGTCCCTCGACCAACCCTTCAACGCCTGCTCCTCCGTCATCCTGAAGGTGTGCATGTGCCAGGCTACGTACCCACATTTCTCCATAAGGACTGATTTCCCTTTCCGCTTGATGGTGGATTTGACCAATATGATGTCCAGCATGTCCGCCGTCTGCATGCGCGAGCCCTGATCTCTCTCCCTCTTCTTCTCGAATACCAAGGGCATCGCAATGGACTTGAACCGACCCTCGTCCTTATAGCGGACCGATTGCAGCTCAGCTTTGACCTTGGGGTTCTTGGAAGCGATCCTCTCCAGCGCGTGCAGGCCGTTGAAACACTTCATGTGCAAGCACTTGTAGCCGTATTTGCGGTGCTTGGACAAGTCGCTGGGGTCGGCGATCTCCAAGCAGAAGTCGCAGGTCAGCGCGCTGCCGTCATCGTCGCTGACGTCGTCCTCAGGGGCGCCCGAGGTCTCCGCGGACACGCCGAGCCTCTTGCACAAGGTACCCAGGATCTCCTCATCAGAGCTGTCGCGGCCACCACCCATGGTTCCCGAAGACGACAGCGCAAAACGGTGGCGATCACGTCGAGTCGCTCCCAAACGCTCGAGCCAAAACTGCTACGGAAGGAAGCTCGTGCCGACGAGCGAAACCCACTTGAATGCAAGTGTGCTTACCCTGGGAAAACGGTATTCATCATCTTGCGCACCTGCCACGGTCAGGGTCGCTGGGGCGCCCGACCCATCAAGGAAGATGGGGCGAAAGCTCAGAGGCTGGCCGTCGAAAGAAACGCGTGAGCACTTGAAGTGCTCGTGGCACAAGGATGGCGATGACTCATACAACGACGCCAGCGTAGTGAACCAGGCAAGCGACGAGCTGGTCTTCGGAGACTCAAACCACGATGTTCACCAGATGAACCACCCCTGGAGGCTGGGGAACACAATGACCAACGACGCCATCGATCGGGCCCCGCGAGTCGCGGTCAGGAGGGTTAGGATCGGGCGTGGCAACGCAATGCATTTACCCCAGACACCAAGATGGCACGCCATCGCGCCAACGCGGAACTGAGTTCCCAAGAGAAGCGTAGCACCAGAAAGCACTTGGGCGCATCAACCTACGCAGGTGACCAGCCCCAAATATCTCCCCCTGGGGTACACGACAACCGCCTACAGAATCACCCAAGACCCCTCTCATGAATGATTGCGTTGTGGGTCGGAGCGCCTTGGCGGGCGGTCGGTCACGGGCCCCGACTCCGCTCGCCCGTTTGTTGGCCGCGTTGGGCCCTCTCTGGCCCGTGCAGCTTCATTGACGAAACTGTGTGGCTAGGCCTCCTGAGAATTGACCCCAACCAAAAAAAACTCCTCCTCCTCCTCCTCCTCTTCCTCCTCCTCGCCCCCCGCACTCCCCCGCAACGGCGTGAAGAAGGATGATGAAGAGGAAGAGGGGGAGGAGGGGAGGTGGAAGGAGAGCAGAAGGGGGAGGCGACGGCGGCGAATCGGCATCGTGGCGTAAGTCGAGAACGCATTCGACACACATCACCCTAAGAGCAAAGCCTCGGAGGACGCGCGACCTACCGTGCACTCGAATGCGAAAGAACCGCAGGCCCCACGGGGGCCCCGAGTTGTAACTCGCTCTACATCGGCGAACATCGGGACACGAACGACCTTGGCCCGATCTGCTGCCTCAGCTTTCCTTTGGGTATCTATTTCAACCACGCCACGCGAAACCGACCTATGCTTAAAACCTTTAGAGTATACCAATCAATCAATCAATCAATCAAACTCTGAGGGGCCGCGTTCAGTCAGCTCAACGGAAAAAAGAGAAGTGCGCCCACTATGGACGGGACTCCTCCGAGGCGTGAAGTTGTCAAGCTATTCAAACCATATCCTGAGGGCCTTTACAGGAAGGGGCTGCTGTGCTGGGGGGGATCCCTCAGGCAGTCTGCAGCGCCCCGTGGTGGGGGACTTAGGGGCTGCCCTGCACCGCCAGGGAGAAAAAAGGAGGAGAGCAGCGCAAGGCAGTCTGTCTGCATTTTTTCTGGCCCTAAGAGCCCTTAGGGCCAGAAAAAAAAGGGGGGAGAAGGAGGAGGAGGAAGAGGGGGCCACCGTTGTGGCGGTGGATCGGCCCCTCTCCCACCTTCGGGGCAGTGCCAATGGGCCCCCAACGGCATCCATCAGCCCTGTCCCCAGGTGGTCGAGGGGCCGATACACCACCTTAACAGCGGAGCGTAATATCCCCACCCTCGGTTGATCGGGCAGCACGGGAAGAGGAGGAGGAGGGAGGAGGAGGAGCAGGGAGAGGAGAAGGAGGAGCATGAGGAGGAGGAGGAGGAGAAGAGCAGGGCGAGGGAAGGCTGAGGAGGAGGAGGAGGAGGAGGGGGATCCTCATCCCAGCCACCCTCCTCCTCCCCTTACTCTTCCTGCTCCCTCCTTGCGCTGGCCCGTCGGAACGAAACGTTCGTCCCGACTCGTTTGTCATAGCACAGCGTTGCTCCAGCAACCAACGGTCTTGAATTTAACATGATGTTATCGATTTTCAAAGCCGTGTCGATGGTTTTCTGTGGTTCTGTCGTGGTTTTTTGGTGGTTCGTCGGTGGTTTTTTGGTGGTTCCCGAATGGTTCGTATGTGTTTTTTGGTGGTTCCCGAGTGATTCGTCGGTGTTTTTTTGTGGTTCGTCGGTGGTTTTTTGTGGTTCGTCGGTGGTTTTTGGTGGTGCGTCGGTGGTTTTTTGTGGTTCGTCGGTGGTTTCGGCCCCGCCGTCGACATTTCCTTCTTATGGTTTAAAGAAATCTCCTTATCGCAGCGCTGCGGTATGCATTTCTCATGGCGGTGTAAGCACGAACACGCTGGCTGTAGTCAGCAAGATCATGCATCTATGTAAGTGCGACTTCTGTGCGCACGCGTGGACAGCGCCGTGATGCCGCGCGCGTGCAAGAGCACAATGCCCATCTCCTCGCCACCTCTCCCTCCACCAGCCAATCCTGTTGCTTGCGCTGGTGCCCACTGCTACTCTTCATCCCCTCCCCCTGCCATCCATCCGCGCCGACCAGTCTTGGCCGCAGCTCCCGTCATCTGTCCCCGCCCTCCACCCCTGTCTCTCAAGTCTCTGCAAAGGGTCTTGGACTGTGCGATGGCTACGCCGCCGAGCCGCCTGACCCCACGACGTCCAAAAGAGCTGCGACGAGCCCAGTGCCAAGAAACAAACAGAGAGCTCGGCTGTAGAAACCACGGGCACGGGGCCCCCCGCAAAGTCGGACCAGGAGAATTTATGCAGCTGCGGGTCGGAGTGTTGCGAAAGCACAGCGTTGGGGGCAGGGGGGAAGTGGAAGAATGGAATTCGTTTGCAGAGCCAGACAGCCAAGCTGCTTAGGATATGCAACACAGACGTTATGATGAGCATGACGGTGGCCATGACAATGACGATTCCCACTCGTTGTGCGATTGGTGATGGCGACGGTGTGATGGTGACAAGCATGGCGACGATGCGAATAGCCACATGCCAAATTGGTGATGATGACTATGGCGGTGGATGGTCACGATGAATTTGGGTTGCAGGTCTGCCACTTGATGCAGACGCGTCGGTGAACTCCGACGGCGTGTCTCTTGCCTTGGTAGGCGCCGACCCTATCCGACTTCACGGGGCTAGAAATGAAGAAAAGGAAGGCTAGTGCGATGCCCGTGCTCACTGTCGAGCTCTGGCCGCTAGCCCGAGTCAGACTCAGACTCAGACTCGACATGGCCCGCGGCAGCATCCTGAGCAGCTGGCCTGCGAAGGGCGTTTCGAGGAACTAAGTGGTGATTGAGAACGCCCTCGATCTGCCGCATGGCCTTACTGGCCAAGTCCTTCGCCTTCTTGATGCGCTTGAGGGCTATGTTCTTCCGAGTGAGCTCGGCCTTCAGGAATCTGACCGAGGCCTTGAGGTTGCGATTGTGCGCCTCGAGGGCGGCGCGGCTGGGGCGGGCCTCGGGCGCCATGGCGAGTCGCGAATGGATCTGCGCGGGGCAGCCGCTGGGAACCGAAGCTTGAATGAAG